TTTCCATTCCCTACTCTGTTGTTTTAGGTTTCTTCCAATTTCCATTTTTCAAAATGGGTCTCTTGACACAGCACTTATCTGTCAGTGAACAGGACTCCCAGTAGACTGATGGTGGCGACATGTTGAGCCAAAGTTTACTGACAGACATCAGGCCCACAATCCCAGAAAAGGATGAAAAGAACTGAGGTTAAAAAGAGAAAGACACGGACCAGAGGAAAGAATGAAGTGAATCTAAAGGGAAGCCTCCAGGGAAGGTCATCCTGATGAACAGTAGTCAAAATGAGTTGAGAAGCTACTCAGATCTAGAACGCTAAGGAGCCCAGTCATTTCAACAGAACGTTCCCCACCAGTAAGATCTAGAGCAGTGAGACAAGGGATGTGGGATATTGAGTAGGGACAGTTAGACTTCTTTTATGGTGCTTCCAGATATTTGACATAAACCTGAGAGGAATCTAACAAAATATCAAAGAGTTTTCACAAGTTTCTAAGTGCTAGATGGTTTGGGGGGAGGGGACAGTGCTATAAAACCCAACTTGCTCTTGAGATTTACATACATTGAGCTAACCATAGGGAATTGGTGTATAACTATAATTCACTATTTTTTCTCTATTTTAACCCTAGTCTTTATCCATTTAATAATTACACATTGAGCTTCTGCAAGGGCTTATATAGTGAAATTGTAAAGCCCATGATGGCAAAATCTCTTTTGTTCACTTCCATATTTTTTAGAGCCTAGAGCAAAGTGTTCACTAAATATTTGTTGAACAAAACAAGCTTATGGCCCAGTAATGGACCAATGTCGTTACTACCACTAGAATACTATGGCAAATGTGTTTTGTTCACTATAATGCTAAGAGAGTGAACAATGTACCCATTTCCAAGTTCAGATGGGTGAGGTAGGGACTAAAATTTCCTAATCTAAAAGAGAAAGAAAGTCCTCTTCCCTTTTATAGTGGTTATTATGGAAGGGACCATAGCCCAAGGAAGAAAATCTTTCTTTAGATCTGTCCTTCTTTCAGCATATACACACAGAACCAGGAATAAACATCACTTGATATATGAGCATATGAGCTGGGTAGAGGTACAGAAAGAGGGATTCCCTAACCTAAACATAAGAGTAAAACCATGGGTATTGCAATACTCAGGATCCTGGCAAGAAAGAGATGGCTCATTTCAAATGGGTAACCAAAGAGAGCTTCATGAAAGGGCAATTATTTAAAAAAAAAAAATTATGTCTTTATTTTGAGAGACAGAGACAGAGAGCGAGCAGAGAAAGAGCAGAGAGAGAGGGAGACACAGAATCCGAAGCAGGCTCCAGGCTCTGAGCTGTCAGCACAGAGCCTCACGCAGGGCTCAAACCCATGGACTGTGAGATTATGACCTAAGCCTAAACTGGATGCTTAACTGACTGAGCCACCCAGATGCCCCTGAAAGGGTGATTTTTAAAGAGAGATTAGAGTTAAACTACACCAATAAGGGATGGTGTTGGGAGACTTTAACTCATAACCTAAAGGCACAAGGGAGAGGGCAGTAGCTGAGAGTTGACAATAACTGGTTGTGGGAGGTGAGGTAAGGGGTGTAGGGGACTACCCATAAGGAGCCCTGGTCCTGGAAAGAAGAAAGTGACCATTGCCAAATTGTGGTCCAGGAAGGAGGGAGCTAGGAAATGCACAGCCTCGTCTTTCTCTCCTCCAGATCTTTCATCTGTCACTGCTATTGCAACTTAAAGCCACTGAGCATGGGAGCCTGGTTAAAGCCGTTTGTTGAGATCAACCTCTCCAAGCATAGAGCTGGACAGAGAAGGATGGGAAACTTATCTAGAGAGGCAGAGAACATCTAGAGCATTTTTGCTCCTCAGTATCTACCTTTTCCCTTTAGCTACTTGAAAAAAACCTATGTTCCCACTGTAGGAAGTAAATAGTTCCAGTTAGTGGATGTATCATCATTAGATGCTATGAATCCACTCATTCTGTCATGAAACCTAAAATTCAGGCAATATCCATGCTCTCCATGTAACATAACAGGGGGAAAATATGTGGGTAGATGAACAACCCAAAATAGAGCTCCTACAATCCCTACTTCTGTATAACACAGGCCTATGTAAATAACCATAGCTTCTTCTACCTTTTCCCTGCTTCCCTTAACCCTCTGTGAGTTCTTTGGCTAGACAAAGTCTTTGCCTGATGGTGACTCAAACTTTATTTATACGAAACCTCAAGTCCACAGTTGTATTTGTTGGGATGCTGCAGTTTTTCATAGACCAGTGTGGTAGAAAAGTACTAAGAGAAGCTCCAGTCAAATCTCTGGGCTCCATGCATACTCCTTGTCCCTCCCACTGGGTATCAGCGAGCCACATTCCCAAAGCAAGTGTGATCACCCATGCCAGTAATGCGACCCCACCTTTGCCTGTTGGTTAAGCAGTATGAGAGCCGGTCAGTCCCAGTTGTCAATTTAGCGGAACTATGATTTCCCCCACTTGGAGGAATTCTTCCCTTGAGCATGAGAGCCTCCAAAACCAGCAATGTCAAGGTTGTGGAGACAGGAAGGACAAATTCTTTTTTTGTTGTTTTTGTTGTTGTTGTTGTTGTTTATTTTTTTTAATGTCTGTTTATTTAGAGAGAGAGAGTGAGCATGGGAGGAGAGGTGGAGAGAGAAAGATGAAAGAGAGAATCCCAAGCAGGCCTTGTGCTGTCAGCAAAGAGCTCAACACAAGGTTTGAACCCATAAACCATGAGATCATGACCTAAGCCAAGATCAAGAGTTGGACTCTTAACCTACTGAGCCACCCAGGTGCTGCAGGAAGTACAAATTCTTTAAATGAGTATTAAGTATAAGCACAAATTCTTTAAGTCAGTTATTAAGTGAATTATTAAGTTATTAAGTATAAGTGAAAGAGAAGGACCTCTTTCACCTTCACATCTTGATACCCAGATCCGCGAATTCAGGCTGTCAGGGAGACCATTCTGACCTGTGGTTTGATGCATATTCCCTAACCAGATAGTTCATCGTCTCCCTGAAGCTACAACTGTGCCTGAAGTATTCATTCCATAATTCCATGAACAATGGGCCAGTGAATTTAGTGTCACTATTTCCACATTTTATTTGCCATTCAATGAGTTAAAGAGGGTAAAATTGGGAAAAATAAGACCTCCTATAAATTTAGGATGTCTGGCAGAAAATTTGGGTCAAGGAAGAAAATGCCTCTTTATAATGCATATATATGGTGTATATTTCCATGAGGAAAAATGACTGTTGCCTCCATGATGGAAGGGATCCAATAAGATGGTGGTATTTTGGTTTCCCTAGAGAATGATGCTGTATCAGGGGTTCAGCCTTTGGTCTCTGCTGTTCACAGGGTAGATACTGAGCAGTGGCAATAATGAGATCAGTTTTAATAATGGATATCACATTGATGAACCCTAATTCTTGCCACCATAGCAATATTATCAAGGGGCCCATGGAACACAAGTACCATATTGGCTGAGAATTATTCTGACTCATAGCCACAGGATGATTTCATCTTGTCCACCTCCTTTCAAAAGCCTGTCTCCACAATGAAATGCTCGCTGGTAGGCATTTAGATGGTAAAGGAATAATATGTGCCTATTATGAGAAATCTATCCTTCTACGTTTCCCCTTGTCACCAATCTGTATATCATGTTCTTTTATTTTTTAATCTTTTATTTATTTCTGAGAGAGAGAGAGAGAGAGAGAAAGAGAGAGAGAGAGGGACAGCATGAGCAGGGGAGGATCAGAGATGAGGAAGATACAGAATCTGAAGCAGGCTCCAAACTCTGAGCTGGCTGTCAACACAAAGCCCAACATGGGGCTCGAATCCACGAATTGTGAGATCATGACCTGAGCCTAAGTCGGATGCTTGACTGACTGAGCCACCCAGGCACCCCTATCATGATAGGGGTGATTTTAAAGTTCCTGACCAATTGATTAAGTTTTTAGCCACCTCCCATGCAGTCATAGATACAAACCATAAGCTATCTTCTGGTGGCCTAAGTAAACAACCAATGTACTGCTTAAAGTTCTTTTAGAGGGACACCTGGGTGGCACAGTTGTTAAGTGTCTGACTTTGGCTCAGGTCATGATCTAGCAGCTCATGGGTTCAAGCCCCACATTGGGCCCCATGCTGGCAGTGTGGAGCCTGTTTGGGATTCTCTCTCACTCTCTCCCTCTCGCTCTCCCTCTCTGCCCCTCTCCCACTTGTGCTTTCTCTCTTTCTCAAAATAAATAAGTAAACTTTAAAAAGTTCTAATTAGAATAGTTTTCCTTTACTCTAGTCTTTCTTTCAGAGCCACCCTCGCTGGGACTATAATGCACTGGCTATGCCCTCTGGCTTGTGACCACATATCATAAACTTGGGCCCAAGTCTTTTCTTCCCCAGTCACATAGTTATAAGGAATTCCACATAATGCCATTGATGAGAATGGAGATAGAAGAGGCAATGCACCAGAAGTAGGTGTTGAAAGAGGGAGCCGCCTACCCATGTTGAACCCAGTCACATATATACCATTGCCACTCGATGACTTGGTGTAGCACATTCCTGATTTTATGAATGGTGAGTCAGATAACACCCAGTTCATTAGAGTCAGCTCAGGTCTCAGCTTGATTTTCCACAGTCAGTGTAATGGTTTAAATGGTGCCCCCCCACCAAAATAGGTCTCCTCGGATCTGTATATGTGACCTTCTTTGAAAACAGCATTTTTGCAGGCAGAATTAAGCTGAAGATTTTGAAATGTGGTCATCCTGTATTACTGGGGTGTGCCCTAAATCCCATGACAATTTTTTTAAGTTTAGTTATTTTGAGAGAACGAGAGAGTGAGAGAGCGAATCCTGAGCAGGCTCCGCGCTGTCAGCACGGAGCCCATTGTGGGGCTCAGACTCATAAATCATGAGATCATGACCTGAGCCAAAATCAAGAGTGGGATGCTTAATCCACTGAACCACCTAAGTGCTCCCCAGTGACCAGTGTTTCTTATTCGACACAGCAGAGAAGACCCAGAGAAGGGCTGCGTGAAGATGAAGGAGAGATTGGAGTCACAGGATCAGAAGGAAAAGATTCTTGGAACAACGGAAGCTGAAGGAGAAAAGGTAGGATTCTCTTTTGGAGACTCTAAGAGGGAACGTAGCCCTGCTGACAACCGATTCCCAACTTCTAGCCTCCAGGACAATGAGAGAACAAATTTTTGGTTTTTTTAAGGCATCCAAGTTTGTGATAATTTGTTACCGCAGCCACAGAAAATGTGGCCAGGCTTTTAATTTCTACAGGGGCTTATGGCAAGGCAGAAACTGTTTAAAGGAAGACTAGTTCCCTGCAGAAGGCATCATGGCTACAATGCAAAACACTAGAGGTCTTCACCAGTTCTCCTGCTGGGGCTTGACAAAGAGAAGCCAAAGATAAGAGGGAAAGGCTGCTTGATTCTGATTCTGATGAGGAGTTGGGGAGCAGAAGCTTCTTCCTGAAACAGTGAAGGATTGTGGGGATTGGGAGGTATGCGGTTCTCAATCTTCTCTGTATCTGCCAAAAATAACCTCATCTTCTATCTCAGGAATCCACTCCTTCCTGCTTACGTATGACCTTATCATACAAGACCAAGTAGTGTTGCCCATTTACCAACGCAGCAACTTGTCTCTCCCAGTGATTAAACAATTTGCTCAGTGCCATCTGCGTGGTGACTGTCAGAGCTGAAAGTCAGTACCAGGTATCTTCATCCTTGGCACATGCACTTTTTATTTTATGATATTGCATGTCCCTAGAAACCAATGTAACTGGGGAAAAGTGAATGGAGATAGGACATATGTTTAGCCATAGATGATCTTCAATAATATTTGCCCTGCAGCCAGATAAAGGATTCTTCAAAAGCTATGCTGAGTTAGATATACTTGCCCTGCAGCTACAGACATAAAAGAGTCATTAAACACTTCCAAGGAGGGTATTTGATTTTCCACCAGTGCCCTGAGTTGGATATTCAAGGCTGATTATTTGTCCTTTTCCCCGTGTATGTTCTCTGGGTTTCTTAAGTAGCCAGCACAATCTTTGTCATCTAAATCACCTGACAAAACAGTACACGCCACAGTCACATGACCTCTGCCTTCCCCTGCACACAGCCCCATGCAGCAGTTGCTGATCATTTGAATGACTGTTACTCTACTGCATACTTTGTTATCCATTCTGCCTTGGTGAAGAGATTCTCTGTGCTCCCATCAAATACATGAGCAACCTAATCACAGAAACCCATTTTGGGGATCTGTTTTCAGAAACAAGTCTTGGTTTCATTTACTTTATCTTCCAGATTCCCCACAGCAAACAGATGGCATACTCAGAAGGGATCACTAGAGTTTATTATGAAGGGACATTGACAAGAGTGTGGGCAAAGTTGTTACCCACAAGAAATGGAAAACCACCTGACTAGTAAGACTAGAATGCTGTTACCACCCTTGACTTGAAGGTGCCAAGGAGGGGTTGTGTGCTAGAACTGGGAGCTGAAGGTATAGGAAAGGCCATCCAGCAGAAGCAGAAGCAAAAGCAGAAGCATTTTGATATAAGAACCCAGCCACCGCTAAGTAGCGACAGGAAAGGAGGTAGAGAACTAAGTGCCCTGACATTTCCTCCTTCATATCTTCCAATCTCCTGCTGATGCCTCCCGGGGACAATCAGAAGTCAAAGGAAAGGGAGTCAGCCAGTTGATGGGGTCCGAGAAGGTTGCTCTCACAAGGCTCCAAGTGGGATGAAAACTAAGGAGTAGATCTAGAGGGAAAAAACAGAATTCTCAAAAGTGTGTTTACTGACTGGCTAAGGAAGCTGAAAAACAGCAGCAGCCAGTGTGTCACTCAGCTGGTCTGACACAGTCACTGAGTATAGTGGATCCAGAGCTTCTAGCTCCCCAGCTCCCGATCTTTCCTTCCAGGACCACAGGAACAGGAGGAAGCAAACAGCATACTACTTCTCGAGGCTGAATACGTGCGTGCGTGCGTGCGTGCGTGTGTGTACACCCTATTAAACCGACTTCCGGAGGCTGGAAGGTGCACGTGCTTAGGGACCAAACGTACTTGGAGCTGACTCTCCGCTCTGACAGTTACAACCTACATGACAATGGGCAAGTTACTGCATTACTTTAAACATCCGTTGCTCCTTCTGTATGGTTTGGAATACTAACCACCCTAACAAAAATGTTGCAAAGAGTAAATGAAATAATGGAAAGTTCTTAATAGAGTTTTTCACACATGGCAAATATTCTTTAAATGTCTCTTTTTCATGTTGACATTTTTCTGTGCTGCTGTAGCCACTGCGTAAAACATATTTGTAACTCATTTACAAGAAAACACATTCTGAGTTCCAATCAGCTTATAAAGCAGTAACAACTGTTTTTTTTAATACAACTTATTTTTTAAGTTGAGAGGGGCCTGTATTTAGGCAAATCATCCAGGGGTGGCTGATGGTCATATTTTCAGAAATGATCGGATCCCTCTCAATGGAATAAAGTGAGTTCCCTGCAAGAAATAAATAATTACATAAGAAAGACTTTGTAACAAAGAGAAGTAACTGGAAATCTGGGTGTATACTCTAAGTAGAATGCTCTTCAACAGTATCCCCAAAACTGTTCAACAGGGGTTAACTCCAGACACCAGAGCGGGATTGGAGACTTGGGAGCACTGAAAGCAGTCCCACTTATTTCTCTGTAGATTTAAATACTGCTTAAATATTTTACAGTGAACGTGCATTCGTTCTGCCTAATTTGTAAAAACATTTAAAACCCTTGCATGGTTCCAGTGTAAGGCCAGGTGTCAATATTATGGACAAAGTAAGACGTCCGCTGTACAGAACAGTAGTGAACTATGGATAAAGAAATGATGCTCTGTAATCAGTAAGATAGTATAAGGCACATTTATTTACCAAAAAGGGGGAGGATTTTAATGATTTGTCATATGGTATGTAAACTAATGCTGCTAGCCATTGCATTACACTGTAAGCTCCAGGATGACATTTCTATTTATTCTTATTTATCCCTAATACCTAGTCTAATAAGTGTTATATGCTCAGTAAGCAAGGGTTGTATGAATGAATATTTTTTATTTTTTTCTTTTTTTAAATGTTTATTTTTGAGAGGGGAGGGGGGAGCACATGTAGAGGAGGGGCAGAGAGAGAGAGGGAGACACAGAAATCGAAGCAGGCTCCAGGCGCTGAGCAGTCAGCACAGAGCCCAATGCGGTGCTCCAACCCACAAACCGTGAGATCAGGACCTGAGCTGAAGTCGGGCGCTCAGCGACTGAGCCACCCAGGTGCCCCTACTCTTTTATTTTTTTAAGTTTATTTATTTATTTTGAGAGAGACAGAGACAGTGTGAGTGGGAGAGAGGTAGAGAGAATCGCACACAGGCTCCTCACTGTCAGCAGGGATCCTGATGCAGGCCTCAAACCCACAAAACCATGAGATCCTGTCCTGAGCCTAAACCAAGAATTGGATCCTTAAATGACTGAGCCACACAGGCACCCCATGAATGATTATTGTTTAAACTGAGAGACAGAGTAGTATGTCAAACAGAACACAGTAAGTGAGTTGTCATGGGTACTCTGAACCTCTCAGTTCCCTCGTCTGTAAAATGGGAAAGTTGAGAACATGAGTAATTTCAAGATTAATTTTAATAAACCCATAGTATCTAAAGTTTTAAGAACTGACATTGAGTCTCCAATTATTTATTCTACCAAGTAAAGATTTTCAAAATTCATCATACATTGTCACTATCGTTTCATAAACAGAAGAAACAGAAGGATATTTTAACACTAAAAATGCAAGAGAGACATAATTCAGAATAAAATTCTTAACAAAAGACCATTGGCAGGCTTCCATGAGAGCAAACACACACGCACACATGTGCACACGGCACACACACAAATTGTATAACAAATTTGACAAAGATTCACAGAAGATTTTGAATCAAGGATTAAGTGAACTCCAGGATCTTCTCATCTCGAAGATTTTGTGGGCACATTTTTATTTTCCTAAACTTAATATTTTTTTTATTTTCCAATGGGAAAATATGTCCTTAATAGCTAAAACTCCAACAGCACTGATGTGTACAAAGTGAGAAAACAAAGCGCACCCCAAGGCTCCCCCCATTCCCACAAATAAAGTGTGTTATATAATCCCCTAGGCTATTTTCTGTGAGGATATAAACATACATACGCGGGCATAGCCTTTTGAAGGAATAAAACTTATTCTAAACTATTAGCTTGCAAAAGTAGAGAGTCACATATGTAGTAATGATCAACTGAACTGAATCTAAATAACATTTAGGGAAAATATTTGTTGGGCTCAATTGAGGGGAGTGGCTCTTTGCCACGCATTCCTCATAGCTGGGCAAGAGGCTTGACTTTTTCTGATCTTAGCAGCCACTTCATTACTGTGCACTGCACATAAGATCCCAAGATCTTATCTCGGGATCAAGATCTGCCAAAGAAGATAAAAAAGCTTGGGAGTGTCCAAAGGCAGGAGAGCAGGTGGACATTTGGAACAGAATTGAAAGAGGTCAGCGAAACCATTCCCCCAGGCTAGGCAAATATCAAGGGGCAAGAGACAGGAGTCTTGAAGTGGGGTGAGGGCCTCATCAGAGAGCCAGAAACCTATGGCTGTGTTTGGGGACACACAGTGGGCAGAAGCAGCAAGAATGTCTGCAAGTTCACACCATCTCCTAATTCTCTAGAAAGCACATGTCAGGACTTGGAAGCACCTGGAAATAAGGCCCAAGAGGCCGGTGGAGGCTGATGCCCACAGCCACTCCCAGACGCCAGGAGATGTTGGGCTTTCCCAGGTTTCAAAATGTGAAAGCAGCAAAATGCAAGAATATTCAACCTACTCAGTTGGTGCTGCTGATTTGGTCCCAAACACTGGCCTTGTCTGCACAGACAAATCAAGGCAAAGAGAGTGGAAGCCATTGGCCTGAATTGGGGCATGCAAGATTCCTGTTAGCTCTTGCCATTTATTCAAGTTTAACAAATGATTACATATTTTGACTGGGTTGAGACAACCTCGGAGTACATAGTCCACTTAGCTTTTAAATACCAAGAATGTTGTCCATGCTTAATAAAGGAGA